CTCGACACAAGAAGCTCCACAGGGTCACTTGGCTCTGACCACAGGAATGGTTCATTTCTGTGATGATATCGGCAACTGTAGTTTCCTGAGATTTCTAATCTCACCATGAAGAAATTGAACTCTGTTGTGTTTCTGCCTGGTAATGTCACCTGTGATGCTACCAAGCCACTCGAATTGTAAAGGTAGAAGTTCAGATCACTTTCTGGTGCCCAGCACTCAATGGTGACATTTAATCCCAAAGTTATCTGATCCTTTGGTCTCACTTTGATGGAAGGTTTGGGTAAATTAGGGTCTAATAGAAGCAACACACATTCAAAAGAGGTTAGATTGCTTCATTTGTTATTTAACTGATACATTCTGCAAATTCTGACCAAAGCAATATATTAGTCTGTTGTACAGAAAAAATATCTTCTATTGAACATATGTGTTTGGGATTAAGTTAATTAGGAGCTCCTGGTGGGTTAAAGCGCTGAGATGCTGAACTTGCAGACCGAAAGGTTGCAGGTTCAAATCTGGGGTGTGGCATGAGCTTATGCTGTTAGCCCCAGTAACTGCCAACATAGCAGTTCGAAAACATGCAAATGTGAGTAGATCAATAGGTCCTGCTCTGGTGGGAAGATAATAGTACTCCGTGCAGTCATGCCAGCCACATGACCTTGGAGGTGTCTATGGACAACGCTGGCTCTTTTGCTTAGAAATGGAGAAGAGCACTAACCCCCAGAATCAGACATGACTGGACTTGATGTCAGTGGAAAACCTTCATGTGCCCCTTTCCCAATATGGTTTTGCTATTAGGACTCGGAGCCTTCTTCCATAAGCCAATTCCCAGATGTATTACATTTCAAAAAATCTCCAGCCATTGACCAAACTGAGGAATCTTTAGTACAATGCACCTAAAAAATGTCAGATTGACAAAGACTTTTTTTAAAAAAAAGGAGGGAAAAAAAACACAAAAGTTATATTTTTGGAGACGCCAATAACAATATCTGAGATAGGTGTAAAGATAATAACAAATATGTCAGTATTTCTTTTTAAATGGCAGTATTTCTTTCAAATTAACAACTGATTGGTGTTTTGAGCAATCTCTCCACCTTCACAGTGTTACCAATAATAAGGAAAACTGTCATTTTCCAATAATCTATAATATATATGTATCTATATACATAATAAAAGTGAAAATATGTGTATGCGGTGTCCACTTATACAGACAGCCTCCGGCCTCCACAAACAGGCTATAGTTCCAAGTGCTGAGAAGCCTCCAAAGGCACTCCCTCCACTGACTTTGCAGGTTATAGCGAGCACCATGAACATGTAGCCCAAACGCTGCCAATGTCCACCCAAACACTACAGCCCACCATTCAAGGAATGATTTCATTTGGGGAGAATTTAAACCCAGATTTGATATGTTTCCTCCACCACAGACAGGCATCCAAGGGTTCTTTGTGTCGAATTTGCATGACCCCGCCCACTGCATTTCCCTTAACCCTTTCCTATGACACACAGTAAACACAGAGGAATTGATCAGCAGCTGAACAGACTGGAGGGGTTTGGGGGACTGACTCAACAGGATGGAAGCTGTAGTTCACCCTGCATCAAGGCAGATCACTGTGACTCCCCCAGGGAGCACTCCACCCAGCCGACGACAGACCTGGACCAAGCTTGGTACACACACCCAACATAGCTAACTGTGCATACAGGCATGGTTTGGGGAGGATTGACCCACGATTCTGGGAACTGTAGTTCACCCACATTGTTGGGTATTTTCTAATGGGAGCATTAATAAAAAACGAAATCAAAGACTGGCCTTTCCCTAATAAATAGTGTTACTAATTATCTAAATGATACTACCTAACACCCCAAAACAAACAATGCCTTTTTCAAAAACCCTGGGCAGCGCTGGGTCCCCAGGCTAGTAAGTAATAAAGCTAGTAACTGAAGATTCCAAGTTCTTCTCAAAAGTTATCCACATATGATTTTGGGGAGGAGAGAATATATATAAAAACCATTTCAGGGTTATTTGTGAAAATGTCACACAATAATGAAGTCCGAACCTTACCTGTCATGTTGATATGTACTTGGTCACTAACAACTGAACACAACTTATCAGATGCTGATTGGCAGCAATATCTACATCGATAGATTCCCCTTTGATCTAGCTGGGCATTGGGAATGATAAAATTAAGGTTTCCCTGTAATGCCTTCTCCACAAACAAAAAAGGTAGCACTTCTTTATACAGAAAGAACTCTGCATGTTGACATTCTTGGTTTTCACAGCTGATCCTAACGCTTTGTCCCACCATCACCACAGCATTGGGAGTCACTGCAATGGAAGGTTTGGGATAAGGTGTTCCTGGAAAAGAAATAAAGAAATAACAACGAGAGCTGAAAGGTGTATGTTCTATTACCTCCTGGTTCTTTAACATGGGAGACATTTGCAAGCTCTGGATGAACAAAGTGTGGATCGGAAAATAAATAGAAGCCACAGGACTTTGATCCTAATCTAAGGTCTCTTTCAGACCACATAGTTATAGCACTGAACTACTATTTTAGTTGTTATGGTCCCATCAAATGGAATCCTGGGATTTGTAGTTTGGTGGGCTACCAAATTTGAATGGAGTATATCGCATATTATATTGTTTACTTTTGGGTACTGTTCCATTATCCAGGCGGATAATGCTGCATAAAGTCTACTATATTAACCAGGACTATGATTTTACAAAATTGTCCAGGCTCTCCTAGAAAACTGCAGCTTCTATTTCGAGTTTCAAGGCAGGAAAATTAGTTGGAGGAGGCAAAAGACGGCATTGAACAAGGATTGAATTAAGGACTATGAGAACGGGATCTGATTCTAAGTAGGCGTTGATGATTATGTGTATTGTTTGTCGATGTACGTCTTATATATTGTTCACTGTTTATTTTTACTGTAAACCGCATTGAGTCGCCGCTCCAGGCTGATAAATGCGGTATACAAATGGAGTAAATAAATAAATAAATAAATAAATAAAAGAATGGTTTACATCAAGGCAGTGTTCTTACACCGACATTGTTTAACATCTTTACTAAAGATCAGCCACAGCCACTACTCACAAAGAGTGTTATATATACTGATGACCTTGCCCTAATAACACAAGCAAACGACTTTGAAACAGTCGAAAACCAACTTCCGAATCCCCTGAAAGATGTCTCCAGCTACTTCAAAAGTAATCACCTGAAGCCTAACCTTACCAAGACACAAGTGTGTGTGTGCTTTATTTACTTATTTACTGGACTTATATATCACTTTTCTCACCCCTGGGGAGACTCTTTCCTGCTTTCCACCTATGCATACACAAAGCCAATATGAAGTTGAAAATTACCTGGGAAGGCCAAGAGCTTGAACACTGCTCTCATCCTTGGTGTCACCTTAGACCGAACACTAACATTTAGGAAACATTGTATGAGCACCAAGTACAAAGTAGCTGTACACAATATCATCCTATAGAAACTTACTGGTAGCGCATGGGATGCAGACCCAAAATTAATAAGAACATCAACCCTGGCCTTGTCTTACTCAACTGCTGAATATGCCTGCTATGTTTGCCATAAGTCTGCCCATGCAGGTGAATACAGCACTGAACGAAACATGTAGAATAATCACAGGATGTCTCAAACCTACATCTGTTGATAGACTCTACAAGCTAGTTGGCGTGCGATGGGAAGTTGCTGCTAACTGTGAGAGAAATAAGGTTGAACACTGTGAAAGCCACCCACTGCATGGCTACCAGCCTCCTCCCAATAGATTCAAATCAAGGAAAAGCTTCATGAGAACCACCACTCCTCTTAATGTTCCCCAGCAACAGCAAGAGTATCCCTCTGGGCAGCAAAACCAGGCAATTCCACCTGGATGATCCCCCACGAGGGTCTTCCTCCAGGGGCAAACCAAGAATGGGCAACTTGGAAGTCCCTGAACTGACTCAGAAGTGGTGTTGGGAGATCAAAAGACAACCTGGCAAAATGGCACGACCTAGAAGAATCCTCCACCTTGTGCAACTGTGGAGCAGAACAAACAACTCCACACCTGTATGCTTGCTCACAATGTCCTGCCTTATGTACAGGGGAAGAATTGTTTATAGCTACAGATAATGTGGTCACAGTTGCCCATATTTGGTCTAAACGTATTTAGCTGCTTGTGTTTCCTTTATTTTATCAATTTTGTCCTTATGTATGCAATGCGTTTGACATGAAATAATAATAAATCCAGACGGAGGCCACTAGAGGGTGCTAGAGGGGAAGATAGTCCATTTTATAGGGGTGGAGGGTGGGTTGAAGGAGTAAAATCATTTCCCCCTGTTTTCTGTTATTCACCCCACCCATTGTTCATTGTGGAAACAACCCTTGTTTATGATATGGGAAGGGGGCAGGGGAATAATAGGAAAATGGGGGGAAATGGTTTTGCTCCTTCAACCCACCATGCACTCCACCAAAAATGGACTATCCTTCTCTCTCTAGCACCCCTAGTGGCCTCTGCCCAGATAATGCAACAATATATTTAATTTAATGAAGGGATAGTTACACAGAATCAATGGGCAGAGGAAAAAATACAGTGAAGCTCATGTTGTTATATAGTTCATTACTGAACCTCCATAAGTTGCTGAACTGGCCCACAAATAATACATTTAAATCTAGAATCCATCTAGGGATCTAATTTAAATCAAATTATCTATGTCAGAACAACTGTAATGCACAGGTATATGAAATATAAATATAAACATTTCCAAGAGATAGCCTTACAGCAAAAGCAATAATCCTATAGTACCTTAGCTAAGTAGAAAATAGTGAAAACTGTATGAGAATGGAAACATGATCTCACCTATTACTTTGAGGGAAACCCTGTCACTATAAGCGGAGCAATAGGATAAGACGAATGATGAGCAATATTGACAAACATAGCTCCCCTCATTTGATTGGGTTGCATTGGGAATTGGAAATATAGCCCTATTCCACACTGTGTGCATCTCTTTCTGGTGAATTACCCTGGAATCCACCACTTGGTACAGTATGAACCACTTCGCCTCTTGAAGGGCGCTAGGCCTTGTGCAGTGAATGAAGACAGTTCCTCCAAGGGGCACTTCTGTGGAGCTCAAGACTATAGAAGGCTTGGGATATTGAAATTGATATTGTCCTAGAAGAAGGAAGAAACAGTGAGACTTGGAGAACAAAATAATCTATAGGGGTGAGTTCTGGATTGACAATGTGTGGCCCGTGGCTCATGCACACTACTCCTGCAGCCATTGTTGTTGTCCTTACATCTAAATTGTTTTCTTCCTAAAATTTCTGTTACCTCTAAACATGCTATAGACTAGAGCAGTGGTTCTCAACCTTCCTAATACCACGACCCCTTAATACAGTTCCTCATGTTGCGGTGACCCCCCCCCCCTCCAAACTACAACATTATTTTCATTCCTACTTCATAACTGTAATTTTGCTACTGTTATGAAACGTAATGTAAATATCTGATATGCAGGATGCATTTTCATTCACTAGACCAAATTTGGCACAAATAGTCGATATGCCCAAATTTAAATACTGTTGGGGTTGGGAGGGGGGACGATTGATTTTGTCATTTGGGAGCTGTAGTTGCTGGGATTTATAGTTCACCTACAATCAAAGAGCATTCTGAACTCCACCAACAATGGAATTGAACCAAAACTTGATACACAGAACTCTCATGACCAACAGAAAATACTAGAAGGGTCTGCTGGGAATTGAACTTGAGTTTGGGAGTTGTAGTTCACCAACATCCAGAGATCACTGTGGACTCAAACAATGATGGAACTGGACCAAACTTGGCACAAATACTCCATATGCCCAAATGTGAACACTGGTGGAGTTTGAGGAAAATAGGCCTTGACATTTATTTATTTATTTATTTATTTATTTATTTAGACCATTTCTACCCCACCCTTCTCACCCCCGAGGGGGGACTCAATGCCAACAGTATCAAAACAACAATATAAAATCCATTACATAACAATTAAGCAGTGATATTAATTAAAATTACATAACCACATAGAACAGATCACAGAATCACAGGTCATAAAGCCATTTCCAATTTTCAAACAATCCTATTGTCCGAGTTCAATGCCTAAAGTGCTGTTGTGCCCACTAGCCAAAGGCCTGGCTCCAAAGCCACGTCTTTAGTTTTTTTCCTAAAAGTAAGGAGAGAGGACGCCGATCTAATCTCGCTGGGGAGTGAATTCCATAAGCGGAGGGTCATCACTGAGAAGGCCCTGTCCCTCGTCCCCACCAGACGTGTTTGAGACGCTGGTGGGACCGAGAGCAGGGCCTCCCCAGTAGATCTTAAATTATGAGGTGGAACGTAGAGAGAGATACGTTCGGATAAGTAAGCTGGGCCAGAGCCGTATAGGGTTTGTAGGCCAAGACCAGCATTTGGGAGTTGTAGTTGCTGGAATTTATAGTTCACCTGCAATTAAATAGCATTCTGAACCCCACCAATGAGAGAATTGGACCAAACTTCCAACACAGAACCCCCATGACAATCAGAACATAAACATGTTTTCTGATGGTCTTTGGCAACACCTCTGACACCCCCTTGCGACCCCACAGAGGTTCCGAACATTCTTCTGCTTTAGGTCATTTTAGCTTCAGAAGTTGTTTTTAAAGTAAGTCTTTTCAGGCCTTTTGCGGGATTAAAATAACTTTGGGGAAGCAAACATACTGTGGAAGCACTCCCATGACTCCTAGAAAACATGAGGGCATTTGGGGGCAAAGAGAGATGGAGTTGAAGGGTGCGCTCTTTCCAGGTTTCCTGGGTGGCGAAGGCAGCCCCCCATATTTTGCCAACCCCTTGATCTCTACAGTAATCTGACTTGACTATGGGAGACATCAGCTTGATTTGGGAGAAAATGGGAGGCTGAGTTTGACATAGATTGTCAGTATTTGCTAGGATGGTGATCCATCTCTTTAGGATATTCATCAGTAGAAATTATATTAATTCTTGATATTTATTTTTTAAATATTTTTTACTTTATTTTTATCCAGCCTTTCTCAAGATATAGAGACTCAAGGTGGCTAACGATAAACATAAAACAGTGCTAAATAAACTAATGTGAATACATGAAAATATAAAAATTAAAAATATTTAAACTATTTATGTCATTTAAAGCATGTAACATTAAAATATTAAAATGCATTCACACTCCACCCCCACCCCAAATGCCAATTATACTTTATCCAGAGCCCACCCCTTAAATCCAGTGTTTATTATGCCTTGCAAATAGAGATGGATCTACACCAGGCATGGGCAAACTTCTACCCTGCAGGTGTTTTGAACTTCAACTCCCACAATCCCTAACAGCCTCACACCCCTTCCTTTTCCTCTCTTAGTCGCTTAAGTGGCTGAAGGGGAAAAAGGAAGGGGCTCGAAGCTGTTAGGAATTGTGGAAGTTGAAGTCCAAAACACCTGGAGGAAGGCCCAAGTTTGCCCATGGCTGATCGACACTGTAGAATTGATGTTTTCCACCACTAATTCTCATGGCTCAATGTTATGGAGGGAGCCATAGGCATTACATATTTTTATAGCATGTTTAGCCTTATCTGCCAAAGATTAATGGTGTCTTTCAAAACTACAGCTCCCAAGATTGTATAGCATTGAACCTTGGTAGTTAAAGTGGTGTCATACTGCATTAGCTCTGCTGTATAGATGCAAACTTAGTTTGTGCCAAACTGTTCCATCCATTGACTTAAGTCTATAGCCACACTAAAGCATTATAGCAGTTTAACACCACTTTAAACTCCATGGCTCGATGTAATGATTCTGCACAATGGAGCCTTGGAGCTAGAGTAGTACTAAAGTCCAACAAAGATAGTAGTTGATAGCACCTTAACTACCAAGACTCTGCCCTCCTCCTTTTATTGCATGGTATGGGCCATTGGTTGGAAAGCCATGGTAGTTTCCAGTTTGCCCACCACCCCAATTAATTATTCTTTTGTCTGTTTGCACTCTCTTCTCTAAGGCCCCTTCCACACTGCCATATATCCCAGGACCTGATCCCAGATTATCTAACTTAAACTGGATTATATGTCTTCATTTCCAGATAATCTGGGATAAAATGATAATCTGATATCAGGTACTGGGATATAGGGACAGTGTGGAAGGGGCCTAAAATTATGACTCAAGACCAGGATCAAATGCCTGCTTGTCTGTGTAAGCCCTCTGGATGGCCTCAGGCAAGTTACATTCTCTAAGCTTCATAAAGGCCAAAGACACGCCTTCTGTCGCCAGTAGTCAGAAACGAATTGAAGGGAATCATAAACAACAAACTCACCTCTACATATATGCCAATGCCTTGCCATCCATAATCCTGAAAAGGAGATGCTTCCATTAGTTTCAAGATATCTGAACAACAGGAACAAGTATTGGTTTTCCAATTGTGCCACCCTACCATTGTACATCTGGTAGACCTTCTGCATTTCAGCCAGCATTACTAACCAAGTAAGAAGATGCTGAAAGAAACCTTCATGGTGAAGCCTCTGTAGTGAGCAGTGTCCTGTTTGCTCCTTGCTCTGCAGAGTCCTCAAAGATTCCTGTTGAGAGTGTTGACTTCTGAAACAATGCCGCTCAGCAATGAAGATCCTTCCTCACAATGTACGATTTCTGTCGGCTCTGACAGTACAGACAACTGTGGTTAACACCCAGACTTGAGGATCATTCCACATCCCTTTTCAACCACAGTGTACAGAACAGCAAGAGTAGGGCTGTGAGATCTTCACCTGTCAAAGTGCTTTTTGTCATTTGGTTTGAAAAACATCAAGTCCAATGGTGACTTGTTTGGTTGATGCTACAGTTAACTTTTCGGGAAACAGGTAGTATAAATAACATATAGAGAACATTGCACATCTATATATTTAATCTAGTGAACAAGATTTTTTTTAATTCTGGGATTTACCAGAATTAAACAGATCAATCAGATTTTTAAAAGTCTTTCTCTTTTCTCTCATATTTATTAATGTATTAATTATTTATTATTTCATCAGTGAAATGACACATTTGCACAACAGCATTGTAATTCTAAGTATTTTTTTAATGTAGCAGGAGTAAACTAATCTTCCAAATGATACTTTAGCATAACATCTTATTTTTGTTGCCATTTGCTTTCTTTTTTTTTAAAAAAAGACAACAATTCCATATTTACCTAGTTTGATCTTAGTTACATGGTGAGTTACTGCAGAACACAGACAAGAAATGAATAGCATCAAGTTCCTCCAAGATCAAATTTTCTACAAACGTTTGCTTTTTACAGATCCTGTTTCCTAGTTTGGCTGGTATTTTTGTTTCTTACCTTCTCCTTCTTTCTGAAGAAGTAGAGTTCAGACGGATGCAACATGTGACTTCTTCCCAGAACAACATCAGCACAATGGTTGTGACATTGACTTTGACTGGTTCATCATTGTGATTAAGACATCCTTCTAGTTCCTCTTCTTTTAGACCAGTGGACCTAAATCTCGTCCATGAGCCTTCTTCCTCATTATTTATTTTATTATTATTTTATTTTATTTTATTTTATTTTATTTTATTTTATTTTATTTTATTTTATTTTATTTTATTTTATTTTATTTTATTTTATTTTATTTTATTTTATTTTATTTTATTTTATTTCCGCTCCTTTTGTGCCTCCTGCTACTTCTTCCCTATCACTGACCATGGCATATAGAATCATAGAATCAAAGAGTTGGAAGAGACCTCGTGGGCCATCCAGTCCAACCCCCTGCCAAGAAGCAGGAATATTGCATTCAAATCACCCCTGACAGATGGCCATCCAGCCTCTGTTTAAAAGCTTCCAAAGAAGGAGCCTCCACCACACTCCGGGGCAGAGAGTTCCACTGCTGAACGGCTCTCACAGTCAGGAAGTTCTTCCTCATGTTCAGATGGAATCTCCTTTCTTGTAGTTTGAAGCCATTGTTCCGCGTCCTAGTCTCCAGGGAAGCAGAAAACAAGCTTGCTCCCTCCTCCCTGTGGCTTCCTCTCACATATTTATACATGGCTATCATATCTCCTCTAAGCCTTCTCTTCTTCAGGCTAAACATGCCCAGCTGCTTAAGCCACTCTTCATAGGGCTTGTTCTCCAGACCTTTGATCATTTTAGTCGCCCTGCTCTGGACACATTCCAGCTTGTCAATATCTCTCTAGAAATGGGGTGCCCAGAATTGGACACAATATTCCAGGTGTGGTCTAACCAAAGCGGAATAGAGGCACTCCACTTGTCACTTCTTTCCATGATGAAGAGGAAGCATTGGTGAGCACCCTCTGGTTTCGTCCATTTAACCAATTACAGATCCACCTCACCGTAGTTTTGCCTATGTTCTGCATCAGAATCTAGAGCTGATGTGGTATATCCAATGCAATTTTCTGATTCAGCACCACAAACCAAATCTTTTATGAGGCAATGGGGATGTCAGGAGGGGAGAGGCTGATGATCCACAAAAGGCACAACAACAAGCCTCATGACTGTTGTTTCTCCTCCTCCCTCCCTCTGACTGGAGCCATTCTATATGGCACCTGGAAGTGGGGGCACCTTGGTGTCTTTGTTTTTAGGACTGTTCCTGAGGTTATTTGGGGTGATGATTCAGAAAATTGCATTGGATAGACCACATCAGCTCTAGGTTATTAAGTCTGGTTTTCTGTGGGTGAGCAAATGGCGACTGCTAGATGGCATATGTTCTCTATCAGAAAAGAGCTGATGTGGTTATCCAATACAATTTTCTGAATCGGCACCCCAAATAACCCAACCCAATCTAAAATTGACCAAAAACTGATTTGTAATCCTTTTGGTACTAATGTTGGAGAGTGGTCCCTGGTCAAAGTGGTCCCTGGTCAAGTAGTCTGGTTAAAGGGGTCCCTAGTCAAAGTGGTCCCGGGTCAAAGTAGTCCTGGGTCAAAATGGTCCCTGGTCAAAAAAAGGTTGGGAACCACTGTTTAAGATTCTTCTCTTCTTATTTTTTGTTGCTGTTGTTGCTGCTGCTGCTCTTGTGTACCTTTTTTTAAAAAGTTATTTTTATTTAGAATAAGTTGCTCCTCAAGATGGAGCTGAAAGAAAGATAGAGAGAAATACTAGAGTTCTCTATTGATACATGGAAAGAGTGAGAACAATACCGTATAGTAGAGTGAATGAAGAAAATAGACTAACGGAGAAAAAAGAAAATAATAATAATAATATAGAATAAAAATTTAAAAAACCAAACGAAAAAGAGAGAGATTGTGCAGAACTTCCAGGATCTTCCAGGTTAGTAAAGTTATCCTAATTGTTCACTTTTCTTTGTATTTTTGAGTTGGCGGCTTCTTGGTGGTCGTCCTTCAAGGTTCATTTAAAAAATGTTAATATAATTTTCTTTATATTCTTTCTTAATAAATTCTAAGAAACTTTTCCAATCGGTTCTGGGAGATTTTATATAATTTTGTGAGATTCTATGGGTAAGTATGTCCATGTTCATGATATCCATTGTTTTTAATATCCATTGCTCCACTGTGGGAATTTCACTAGACCTCCATACCTTAGCCAAAATAATTCTTGCTGCTGTTGTGAAGTAGAAGAAGATTTTTTTCTGAATTTTTATCTGTAATGAAGTCTGTTATTCCTAGTAGCATTGATTCAGGTTTTAGTTCGAATTTGATATTTAGGATTATTTTGATCTTTTCATGTATTTTGTGCCAAAAGTTCTTAATTTCCGTGCACTTCCACCACATGTGGAAAAAATTGCCTTTGTGCTTTCCGCATTTCCAGCAGTCATCCTTTATTTTTCCTTTGTTGATCTTTGATGTTATCTCAGGAGTCAGGTACCACCTTTATACCAGTTCTCCTTGAGCTCTGATGCATATGAGTACTTTAACTTTCTATTCCAAATTTCTTCCCACTCTGACATTGTTATTGATCTGCCTATGTCTTTCGACCATTTTGTCATATTTTCCTTGACTTGTTCAGTTTCTGTGGACCAAATTAATAGTTGCTGGTATATTTTCTTTATTAATTTGTCTGTTTTTACTATTCTGTCCCAGATTGTATTTTTTGTCTCAAATCCTCTTGTATGATCTATTTTAAAATTTTCTTTTATCTGTTGGTATTGGAACCACGAGATTGACGGGTCGATCTGTTTTTGTTGTTATGTACCTTTAAGTAGTTTTTTACTTTACTTACTTAGGTGATCTCTTGTTGTCTGAGTATGATGGCCTTCCAAGAGTTTTATTTTTCTTGGAAGATGCTTGTGCATGTTTTTTTTTAAAATGTGTGGAGGTCGGTGCACAACTGATCTACATACAGTCTTCACAGAGTGAAGGTCCCAACCAATGGCATGGTTAACACGACGACGGTAGCTTCTCAATCTGTTGCAGCCCTCCTCCACCTTCACAGTCATTGTAACATGTAATATGTTTTCTTCCGCCTGGTCCGCTGTTGAGGTCGTTTTTTGTTGTTGTTGTTGTCATTGTCATTGTTGTTGTGTATGAGGATATTTTATTCTTTTAATACTTGCATTTTTTTATAATGCTTTTATACGGTTTTATGTGGTTTTATTTGTTTTGGTTTATTTATTGTGAATATATTTTAAATTGTTTTGGGAGCTACCGCAGGTCCCACTCTTGGCGAAAGGTCACATGCAAATGCAATAAACTAAAAATAAAAACGTGTGCCCTGTAGCAATCCCTCCTAATCCATATGACTCTGAATGTTGTAATTTGGCAATGAGCTAGAGCTCTCTAGCTACAAATTCTAAATACCCCTCCCTAAATGGCATAAGATCGTCTGGAGGGGCCCTGCTCTTGGTCCCACCGGCCTCACAAGCGCGGCTGGTGGGGACGAGGGACAGGGCCTTCTCAGTGGTGGCCCCGCGACTCTGGAACTCTCTCCCGCCTGAGGTCAGAACCGCCCCAACAATCCTGACATTCAGGAAACAGGTGAAGTTGTGGTTGTGGAGACAGGCTTTCGAAGAATGAGACAACGTTCTGGATGGAAGACGGTGTATATTCGATTTTAGTATGACTACTGACCATTGTAGTTTTTAAATTTATGTGCTTTTCCAGTGTTTTATTGTAATTATGTACTTTTATATTTTACCAATTGTATGTGTTTTTATGGTTGGAAACCGGGCTGAGTCCCTCTAATGAGGTGAGAAGCTCGGTATATAAAACTTTGAAATAAATAATAAATAAATAAATATCTCAGGATTCCTTAGGCTGTTGCCATGGCAGCTAAAGTGGAATCATAGTGCTATATTTGGGTAGCATGAAAGGGCCACTTTCAGCTTATAATCTACGGCAGGGGTCCTCAAACTAAGGCCTGGCGGCCAGATGTGGCCTTCCAAGGTAATTTACCCGGCCCTCACTCAGGGTCAACCTGTCTGAAACGACTTGAAATCACACAACAACAACAACAACAACAACCACAACAACAACAACAACAATCCTATCTCATCAGCCAAAAGGAGGCCTTCCTCTTCCATTGAAATACTAATAAGTTTATATTTGTTAAAATTGTTCTTCATTTTTATTATTGTATTGCTTTTAAGTGTTTTTTTTTTGTTTTTTGCACTACAAATAAGATATATGCAGCATGCATAGGAATTCATTCATGTTTTTTTCACATTATAATCTGGCTCTCCAACAGTTTGAAGGACTGTGACCTGGCCCTCTGTTTAAAAAGTTTGAGGACCCCTGATCTACGGACTGGTTCTAGACTGGCAGGACCTTTTCTGTTGACAGTGTCAGAGAGACTAATTTGGTCTTCAAGACATTATAAAATTAGATCCTTCTTCTTTCTTAAGTCTGAAGAAAGAGGAACTCTTGATGGTTGCCATTTCTTCACTTTCAGGAAATGAAGTATTGTATTTCTAAAATGTTGGCTTTCCCCTGCAATGATGCATAGCAGTTCTTTTGCAATTTAGATCCTTTCGTATAAATGGTATGCTTAAGAATTGAAAACATGGGTGTGATGTCTATTTTGTCCTCTGTTTTCTTATCAACCATCACTAACAAGATGTTTCGTAAGTGAAAGAAGTATCAAAAATATTGAGTAAAGGGTAGACAAAGTCACTGAAGAAAACCCAGGGTAAAAACATGGAAGTAGTAATCAAAACGAAAGGGAAGAATGAACACACAAGTACAGGCTCGGAAAACGAGCAAAACTGGGCCTGAAACTCCCATCTGCTATGCTAAAAGTAAAGGATTATGGGAGGAGTATAAGGGAGACAACAATTATTCACTTTTTACTAACAACATGTGTTGACACAGGAGTGAAATGTGAGGATAGAATTGGATATTTAAGGTCTTGAGTCTGGCAGG